TAAAAATATGTAATTTGATAAAAAAAAATTTAACATATATATATTATCGTGTATGAAAAATATTTGAAGTAAAAATTATGTTAAACTATAAATTAATTAAATATTAAACGATTGAATATGTGATAAAAATAGGTGATGTGATAATTCTGAGGGGAAAAATATATAGGGGATAAAATTCAATTGCTTATATGTTTTATTATATACTAATTATTGTCTGTACTTTAAGGTATAGAGTAATAAAAAAATGGTCAATAATAAATATATTTGTATTCACACTTAAAATCAAATTACAAACATTAAAGAGAGAGAAATGAATTTAAACACCAATTATAATCGAGGTGAACGATGGTAGTGATGGTAGGCGACAATAGTGGTAATGGGAGAGGATGATGGTTATGCTGGGTGGCTATAATCATGGTGATGGTAGAAGCCGTGAGTAACAACAGTGATGGTGGTGATGAATTTTGGGTGAAGATGATAATAGTGGCAATTATGGGTGACAGCAATGGTGGTAGTGAGTGTGGGTGGTGGTGGGCAACAGTGATAGTGGTTGACAGTGGTGCTGCTAGGGCAACAACGATGGTGGTGGGTTGTGATGAAGGGCGATGACAATAGTGGTAATGGACGACGATAGGTGCTTCTAGGCGACGGTGTGATAGGTGAGGGTAATGGTGGGCGATGACGGGTGTTGGTGGTGGTAGGTGTGGTGGGGGTCGATAACAGTGGCTGACAACGATAGTGAGCAACAACGGGTGGTGGTGAATTATGGTAATGGATGGTGGTGGGTGCTGACAATGGTAGTGAGATGATGGTGGTAATGGTAATAATTATAAGAATGAAATGACGATGGTGGTGGGTGGTGGTAGTAGACGACGGTGATAACAATCGGTAATGAATGACGATGGTGGTGGGGTGGCGACGATGGCGAAGGTGGTGATGATCGTGGTGGTGGTGATGGGGGTAGTGGTGGTTAGGGTGATGATAGGATAATGGTGGTGGTGATAGGGTGACAGTAGTAGTGGTGGCGATGGTGATAGTGGTGGTAGGGGGTGAGGGTAGTAGGGATGGTATGATGGGGCGGTAATGGTGATGGGGTTGCGGTAGTGGTGGTGGCAGTGACAACGATGGTGATGAGGCAATGGTGATTGTTGTAACATAGATGGTGGTTGGGTGGTGGTGATGGGACGACAAGGGTGGAAGTAGTGGAACGATGGGTGTGGTGGTGGTGGTGGTTGAGCAGTGGCGGCGACGATAGTGGTGGTGGTTGTGTGTGACAGAGGTGGTGGTGGGGTGGCGACAGTGGTTGTAGTGGTGGTGGTGATGTTGGTGGGGCGGTTCTAGTGGTTCCAAACACTACTTCTTTTTTTCTTAAGTACTTATAAAAAGTTATAAGTTCTAAAAACACTTTTAAAAAGTCAATCCAAGCACACCCTTAAAGCCATATTTTCCCTTTTAAATTTAGGATATTAATATTAACCGTCAGATTATATTTAAAATAAAATTTAAAGATATCTCAACCACAAAAAAGTAAAAATCATTTTGTTTATCTTTTGATATTTGAATTGTTTTATATACAGATTTGTTCGTCTAGTGTTGTGGTGTATAAAATGTGTATATGCACTATCTGTCAAGTATTTAATGTAATAATTAAGAAGGAAGCTCAACACAAGTGACCTATAATGGCTTGAGTGTTTTATTGCTTAGAACGTGTAGAGTATTCAAATTTGAGTGATACCCCCTTATATAAATAGGGTTTATAATTTATATGCGTCTCTTAACAAATTGGGGCATCATTTCCATAACAGATGAGATAGTTTCGTAGAGGTAACGCCACTCTCGTAACAAGCGATGCAATTCTGTGGAGGTGGCAACATGCACCTGATGATTGCGTCCCATGGAAATCTCTTCGTGTGTCAGTTGGAGACTGAATTTCTCAAGATGACAAGGTTGACCCGAGTGAGTTTGCTTGATCCTATGGTGGACTTGGTCCGTATATTTGACCTGGGCCAAGTCTACATATCTAATCTGGGCCTTATTTGAACCCATCATTTGTGATCTGGGCTTGGTTTGGAATGAGCACGTCGTAATGTATTATAATAACTGAATTAGCATTGAGTCCAAATAATAAAAATTCGGTACCGTAGTTATATTTTCTCACTTTTGTAGTTATTTTTATCACTACTATTGCACTAAATAAATATGTTAAAAATAGTTATCATATCAGTGATAAAAACAACAAAAGTGATAATTTTTATGTACTGAAAAAAAGTGATAAAAATAATTATATCACAACAGATAATTTTTTTGTAAATTTTTTTTGTACAAAAAAATGATAAAAATAATTATTCCAAAAGTAATTAAAAATACCTGCAAAAGAGATAACTTTTTGTATTATAAAAATACCTCCAAAAATAATAAATTTTAGAGGCCAAAAGTCCACATCTAATAAAGGACAAATCAGAAATCATTTAGTTTTTTTTTTTTGAAAATACATTTAGTTCAACTGTACAACATTCCTTACAATAACCCCAGACTCTTCAGATTATTATTCAGCTTCTGATCACCCTGATGCACCTAAGATTAAAATAGGATGCTCTTGCCAGAAACAAGTTAGGGTAATCACAAAGCAAAATGAAGAACACATACTTATAGACTTGATCTCCAAGATAGAAGATCCAGATCTCAAAGATAAGTATGTAAAACAGCTTAGAAACCTTTTCACTAAAAAGGATAATAAGCAACCTGTTATTGAAAAACAATTAATAAGCCTTAACAAAACTATGGAAAGATTTAGTAAGGAAAAGAAAAAAGAAATCACCTTACAAGATCTCCAAAGTGAAGTTAATAAGCTTAAAATTGAGATAAAAGATTTAAAAGCTCAAGACAAGAAATTTGCTGAAGCTTTAACTCTTTTACAAACAGAAAAATATTCTGAAAAATCCCAGGATTCTGATCCAGAAGATCAGACTGCAGATTTTATTAATCCTTTTGATCATCAAGGCTACACACAGGGGATACCAGTAACCTCCTCCTATCAGACGGAAACTTCTGGTGTAACGAACCTGCCTTCATTCCAGGAAGGAGCCACCTCTGATGACAAAAGAATTAGTTTGATTAATTCTTTAACTGTCCAAAAATGGCATGTTGAAGTAAAATTAATCATTAACAATAATTTTCATATTAATGTTATTGCCCTATTGGATACTGGAGCAGATGTTAACTGCATCCAAGAAGGATTAGTTCCAACCATGTTTTATGAAAAAACATTGGAAAGAATTAGTTCTGCCAATGGCAGCAAAATGAATGTTAAATACAAACTTCCTAAAGTTCATGTCTGTCAGCAAGATGTATGTTTTGAAACATCATTCCTTCTTGTTAATAACATGACTGATGCTGTTATTCTTGGTCTTCCATTTGTATATCTTTTGTACCCTTTTAGTACAGATACAGATGGAATATCAACCAAGCATTTTGGAAGAAAAATTGTATTTCCATTTATTACCAAACCTGAGAAAAAACATTTAAGGCAGCTAAAAGACATTTCTGTCTCACAGTCCCTTAATGTTATTAACAGGAAAATTAAGCAAGTGGAATTTCTTAAACAAGAGATTAACCACCTCAGAACTAAAGAAAACCGGTTGAAAAACGCCCCAAGTGAATTCCAA